CGCAGCTCCCTGCCCCCGCCGCCCCCCAAAAACGGCCCCGTCCCGGGAACCGGGCTGCGGGGCTCCTGCTCGGGCATCTTCGGCTGCCCCTGCCGCCGCCCAGCCGGCTCCAGCGCCCGGTAAGACAGTTTCTCACACAGCAGATTGACTCGTGATTTTTTGTTTCCTCCCCCGACAGTACAAAGCGCCTCCCTGCTCCCCGGTTTAGGACCTTGGGATAACGTCTTCACACGTGCCGTTCAGTATCGTCAGGTTTCACAGGAGTTAAAATTCGATACATCACCTCTGTAAGCAATCCCCCATGAGATGCTTGCGATGAAAAAAATCCAGAATCCTTGGAAACAGTCAGTGCTGCCAGCACCTGCTGTACCTCATGCCACAGCCAGCCTGATAAAAATGCTATTTAATGTAAAACTTGTCACTTCCAGATAAGGCAGTGGCTACATTTATCTTTGCAAACAGATTCCCAGTGATTGAATCAGTAATTCTCACCATCTGGGATCCAAGGAGTATCTTGTCACTTCACCCAAGAAACATCATTGGTCAAACATCACTGAAAACACAGGGGAAGTTACATTCTTGGCAGGGATGACCCTGCCCCACTGTCCCATGCGGGGTTTACAAGCACCATGAGGCAGCCATTTCTAGTATAACCCATGCCTTTGAAAAACACAGCAGAGCCACCAGGATGAATATTCCAGAGTCAGTTATGGACCCTGAGTGGCTGTGCCACACTGTATGTGTCAATGCAGGCCCTGACGGGCAGGGAAACCACATCTGGTTTTACCTGTGCTAATAAACTGCACCAGCTTGTACAAGAGATGAAGAGGCAATAAATGGGCTCCAGCTCCCCATGCTGTTCCCTTGCACCCCGACAAGCACCTTTACAGTGAGTCTCATATATGACAACACTGACAGCACGATTCTCACACACACATTAAAAACTCATCTAATCACTGCTTTATTTTCATTTCCATTACTCCAGAGGTTGCCTTTTAGATGGCTCCTCCCCGCTCCCAACTGTTTTCTCCCTAGGTGAGAAGCCAGATTGGATGTCTCTGCTTGGATAATTAGCAGATAAACTCAAGAGGACACCACCCTGGCTTATGTTTGTATTTGGAAAGCACGATGAACTTCGAAAGAACTGTGGCAGATTTTCCCAGGTTATCCTCAACGACGTAACAGTTCAAGCTGGGGGCATTAATGCCAGGGTTTTTCTTTAAGCACGGCAAATTTCCAATCCATGTCTGAGCACCTGTTTGGTAATCTGTGATTCTCAGCTTTCATTTCCCTTTGTACAGTCTTGCCAAATAATAGGATTCAGCAGAGTCCATCCGGCTGGCCTGAGGCTTTATTGTTCTCACGTCCTGGAACTGCTCCTTCAGTCTGTTCAGCAGCAGACGGGACTCGCGTCCATCCCAAAATTTACAAAGCATTGTTCCTTTTGGCTTTAAAATCTTCTGGGACAGGTTCAGAAGGCCTAAACACAGATTGATCAGCTTCTGATGGTCCAGTTCTTTAATGCCTGTTGCATTAGGTGCCATGTCGCTCAGGATAACGTCCACTCTCTCTGCAGGAAGCAGGCTCTGGATCGTCCTCAGCGTGCCTGGGTCTGCGATGTCTGCCTCTGACAGGAAGACTGCTCCTTCCAGAGGAGGAATCCGCAGGAGGTCGACACCAAGGACGAAGCCAGTGGGGATAGCAGGATCTAGATCACAATAATGAATGACACTCTGAACACTTGTAATGGTTACAAACCTGCATAGGCCTGAGCTCCACACCAGTCAATAAACAAAAAACATATCATCTGCTGTGTCTGGTCCTCTTCTCCTTAGACAGTTAGCTGCGTGCATCTGGATGGATGGCTTGCTATAAGCTAAATGGATGGCTTGCTATAAGCTAATCCATTCCAGACATGAAAACTCAGTTACTTTCGATAGGCACGGGCTACTTTTCTTGGTTTTCCTCTCTTTCAAGGCTGACAGTCCAGAAATCCTGGACAACAGTGCAGATGGTAGCACCTTATTTTGTAAATATTAACGGCTTAAAGCACATAAATCATACAAAGTGGTTACTACTGTTTTTCAAGATGGGAAATAAAAATACAGAAAAGCCGAGTTACCTGCTGGAGGCCACACCAATTTCAGAACTGGAACAAGGGATCTTCCCCACAACACAGTTAATCAGAACATCAGCACCACATGGTAAGCTTTCATTTCACAGACATGATTTCTCCAGACCATATGAAGATTTACTATTTCTCACTACCACACCAGCACACATCTTCATGCTTCTATCCATGACTCTTGGCATTTGCTGGTACCCATGTGCCTTCCCCACACCACCACCATCACAGATGAGTTTTCTCATGCATCTGGAGTATCATCCCCACCCTGCCTACCAAAACCGTGCACTTACCGGTCCCTAAGGCATTGACCCTCTCTACAGCAACCTGGCTCCAAGCTCCAGGCGCCGCTCCACAGTCAAGAACAGACAGCCCTGGACGAAGAATATGAAGCTTGTCGTCGATCTCCAGCAATTTGAAGGCGCTTCGGCAACGGTAATGCTGCCGCTTGGCTGCCTTGACAAAGGGATCCTTCAAGTGCCGCTCCAACCACCAGTGCTCAGTTCCAGTTTTCTTCAGAGACCTCACCGTGGTGTGGAGACGTCTGCTCACCAGATGCCAGCAGCTGGCAGGAAGAAGGGCAAGTTCACCACTTAGTGCACAATCACCATGTACTTGCAAGTCTCTATAGCAATTAATACCAACGGTGACTAGCTCTGCCTACTTATCACCAGCTTCAAAAATAGCCGCCTAATTTGAGACTCTTATACCTTAAGTCACCTGGTGGGATGACAACAAAAGGGCCGTGTTTTGGACAGAGGCCTCAGGGTTACCCCGTAGCGCTGGCAGGAAAGAGGCCCCAGGTTCCGAGAGCTCTCCGCTGCTGCTCTGCCCTCTGTGCCCGAGGCCCGCGGGCAGGGCACGCCCGTGTCCCACCGACACCACCGAGGGCCGGGGCTGGCGGCCTCCGTGGAACTAACCCCGGCACCTCCAGCAACGACCACACCCCAGCAC